GGTCCTTAGCTTAGTGATGAGCTTTGTGGGCACTATGATGTTGAACGCTGAGCTGTAGTCAATGAACAGCATTCACACATAGGTGTTCCTTTTGTCCAGGTGGGAAAGCTGGCATAGGTGTTCCTTTTGTCCTGGACTAGCTGGCGGGTAGCTACTGGCAACTATTAGCAACGGTATAGTTGTTTCACGCCTGAGAGTGCCTGTAATTACGCCAGCTGGCTGCCTACAATAATTACATATAATAATGCCTACCATTCAGCTGTTTTCTAACCTCATTGTCTGAAGCGTTAACGTTAGGTAGTAAGTGGCTACTGTGCTTGAAATTTAGCTAGCTTGTTGCTACCTGGATAGCTACTAGTAAACAATAGCTGGAACGACCTAGCGAACAGACGCGAACTGGCTGAGTCAATTCAGTGGCTAGCTAACAGTAGCTGCTAGGGGTAAGTTATAACCTACATTTGTGTTTTGTTTTTACATATTGGTAGCCAGAGTCGTTCAAGGAATTCGGGACATGGGTGACTAGTTAACGTTAGCTTGGCTCTCTCTGTGTGTTCGTGCCGTGAAAGGAGGGGTTTCTTCTTTGTCTGAAAGCAATGGCTAGCTAGTATGCTAACTATTCTAGCTAACTAACTGGCTGAATAAGTTGACGACGGACTCGCTCAAGCTGACGGGACTAACCCACAACGTTAGACACGGACACAAATGATCTGCTTGGCGTGTTGACACACTGGTGGTTTGTTGTGGCCGAGTATTGGTGCTAAACCGTGTTGTTGGAGGCCGGCATGCTAGCTGGCTGTGGCGTCTTATGACTAGGTGCCCTGGACGATTTTCACGGAAGAATACTGTACCAAGTTAGCTAGCTGAATAAACTAAGTTAGTCTATTCCTAGAAAACATTGAACCGCTGTAGTTTACAACAATTATAGTTTCTGAGGTGGAAGTTGGGAGAGTTATATTTGGGTGTTGTGGTGAGGGAGGCCCCGCTCTCTCCTTTCCCAGATGTTTAGTTAATTTCATTCCGATCTCCTTTGCATTATTGTAGCCATTTTCTGTAGCCTGTCAACTATGCCTCTGTCTATCCCTGTTCTCTCCTCTCCGCACGGGCTATGTTCTCTCTCGCTCTCCTCCAACACTACTCACTCTGCCCCTACTCAGATGGTAATGCGCCGTCGCAACCTTCGCTCTCTCTCTCCTCTTCCATCCTATCATCTCTTCCCTCTGCTCAATCCTTCTCCCTCCAATCTCCTGATTCTGCCTCCTCAACCCTCCTCTCCTCCCTTTCTGCATCCTTTGACTCTCTATGTCCCCTATCCTCCCGGCCGGCTCGGTCCTCCCCTCCAGCTCCGTGGCTTGATGACTCATTACGAGCTCACAGAACAGGGCTCCGGGCAGCCGAGCGGAAATTGAGGAAAACTAGACTCCCTGCGGACCTGGCATCTTTTCACTCCCTCCTCTCTACATTTTCTTAATCTGTTTCTGCTGCTAAGGCCACTTTCTACCACTCTAAATTCCAAGCATCTGCCTCTAACCCTAGGAAGCTCTTTGCCACCTTCTCCTCCCTGCTGAATCCTCCTCCCCCTCCCCCCTCCTCCCTCTCTGTGGATGACTTCGTCAACCATTTTGAAAAGAAGGTTGACGACATCCGATCCTCGTTCGTTAAGGCAAATGACACTGCTGGTCCTGCTCACACTGCCCTACCCTATGCTTTGACTTCTTTCTCCCCTCTCTCTCCAGATAAAATCTTGCGACTTGTGACGGCCGGCCGCCCAACAACCTGCCCGCTTGACCCTATCCCCTCCTCTCTTCTCCAGACCATCTCCGGTGACCTTCTCCCTTGCCTCACCTCGCTGATCAACTCATCCTTGACCGCTGGCTATGTCCCTTCCGTCTTCAAGAGAGCGAGAGTTGCACCCCTTCTCAAAAAACCAACACTCGATCCCTCTGATGTCAACAACTACAGACCAGTATCGCTTCTTTATTTTCTCTCCAAAACTCTTGAGCGTGCCGTCTTTAGCCAACTCTCTTGCTATCTCTCTCAGAATGACCTTCTTGATCCAAACCAGTCAGGTTTCAAGACTGGTCATTCAACTGAGACTGCTCTTCTCTGTGTCACGGAGGCTCTCCGCACTGCTAAAGCTAACTCTCTCTCCTCTGCTCTTGTCCTTCTAGACCTGTCTGCTGCCTTTGATACTGTGAACCATCAGATCCTCCTTTCCACCCTCTCCGAGCTGGGCATCTCCGGCGCGGCTCACTCTTGGATTGCGTCCTACCTGACCGGTCGCTCCTACCAAGTGGCGTGGCGAGAAGCTGTCTCCGCACCACGTGCTCTCACCACTGGTGTCCCCCAGGGCTCAGTTCTAGGCCCTCTCCTATTCTCGCTATACACCAAGTCACTTGGCTCTGTCATATCCTCACATGGCCTCTCCTATCATTGCTACGCAGACGACACAAAACTAATCTTCTCCTTTCCCCCTTCTGATAACCAGGTGGCGAATCGCATCTCTGCATGTCTGGCAGACATATCAGTGTGGATGACGGATCACCACCTCAAGCTGAACCTTGGCAAGACGGAGATGCTCTTCCTCCTGGGGAAGGACTGCCCGTTCCATGATCTCGCCATCACGGTTGACAACTCCGTTGTGTCCTCCTCCCAGAGTGTGAAGAGCCTTGGCGTGACCCTGGACAACACCCTGTCGTTCTCCGCTAACATCAAGGCAGTGACCCGATCCTGTAGGTTCATGCTCTACAACATTCGGAGAGTACAACCCTGCCTTACACAGGAAGAGGCACAGGTCCTAATCCAGGCACTTGTCATCTCCCGTCTGGATTACTGCAACTCGCTGTTGGCTGGGCTCCCTGCCTGTGCCATTAAACCCCTACAACTCATCCAGAATGCCGCAGCCCGTCTGGTGTTCAACCTTCCCAAGTTCTCTCACGTCACCCCGCTCCTCCGCACACTCCACTGGCTTCCAGTTGAAGCTCGCATCTGCTACAAGACCATGGTGCTTGCCTATGGAGCTGTGAGGGGAACGGCACCTCTGTACCTTCAGGCTCTGATCAGTCCCTACACCCAAACGAGGGCATTGCGTTCATCCACCTCTGGCCTGCTGGCTCCCCTACCTCTGCGGAAGCACAGTTCCCGCTCAGCCCAGTCAAAACTGTTCGCTGCTCTGGCACCCCAATGGTGGAACAAGCTCCCTCACGACGCCAGGACAGCGGAGTCACTCACCACCTTCCGGAGACATTTGAAACCCCACCTCTTTAAGGAATACCTGGGATAGGATAAAGTAATCCTTCTACCCCCCCAACCCCCCCCAAAAGAAAAAAAACTTTGTAAAGTGGTTATCCCACTAGCTATAAGGTGAATGCACCAATTTGTAAGTCGCTCTGGAGAGCGTCTGCTAAATGACGTAAATGGAAATGGAAAGGGCAGTGTGGAGTGCAATAGAGATTGCATCATCTGTGGATCTGTTGGGGCGGTATGCAAATTGAAGTGGGTCCAGGGTTTCCATGAGTTTTGCAAAGTTTGTATAATCTCCAGTTTAACTGTATAGTTAGGTAGGCCTGTCATAGTTTAATACACTATATATGCAAAAGTATGTGGACACCCCTTCAAATTAGAGGATTAGCCTATTTCAGCCACACCCGTTGCTGACAGGTGTATAAAACCGAGCACACAGCCATGCAATCTCCATAGACAAACATTGGCAGTAGAATGGCCTTATTGAAGAGCTCACTGACTTTCTATGTGGCACCATCATAGGATGCCAGGTAGCTTAGTGGGTAAGAGCATTGTGCCAGTAACCGAAAGGTCGCTGGTTCTAATCCCCGAGCCGACTCGGTGAAAAAACTGTCGATGTGCCCTTAAGCAAGGCACTTAACCCTAATTGCTCCTGTAAGTCGCTCTGGATAAGCGCGTCTGCTAAATGACGTAAATGTAAATGTAATGCCACCTTTCCAACAAGTCAGTTCATCAAATATCTGCCCTGCTAGAGCTGCCCTGTTCAACTGTAAGTGTTGTTATTGTGAAGTGGAAACGTCTAGGAGCAACAACGGCTCAGCCGTGAAGTGGTAGGCCGCACAAGCTCACAGAACGGGACCTCCGAGTGCTGAAGCGTGTAGCGCGTAAAAATCATCTGTCCTCGGTTGCAACACTCACTACCGAGTTCCAAACTGCCTCTGGAAGCAGTCAGCACAAGAACTGTTCGTCGGGAGCTTCATGAAATGGGTTTCCATGGCTGAGCAGCCGCACACAAGCCTGAGATCACCATGCGCAATGCCAAGCATCAGCTGGAGTGGTGTAAAGTTTGCGCGCCATTGGACTCTGAAACAGTGGAAACACGTTCTCTGGAGTGATGAATCACACTTCACCATCTGGCAGTCCGACGGACAAATCTGGGTTTGGCGGATGCCAGGAGTACGCTACCTGCCCCAATGCATAGTGCCAACTGTAAATTTTGGTGGTGGAGGAATAATGGTCTGGGGCTGTTTTTCATGGTTCAGGCTAGGCCCCTTAGTTCCAGTGAAGGGAAATCTTAACGCAACAGCACACAATGACATTCTAGATGATTCTGTGTTTCCAACTTTCTGACAAAGCCCGCACACTGTGCATTCGCAAAACTCAGCTTCAACTTGATTTCAGGCATGAGAGAGTCTATTATTTACCCTCCCATTCTAGCTACAATGTCAGTTCAGTCCATTGTTGGTTACAGACGGCATTGTCCCCTACAAAGCATGCTGTGTTTTCCACCGACAAGGTGCATGTGATGCAGGAACCCCTCTTTAAACTTCTATTGGTCCATTTTTTCGGGGGGGGAGGGGTTAAAGTAGGTGGCGATAATGTACCATAGCGTTGGATGCCAACCACGATAAACCCCACAGAAGAAGAAGAGGCCTACCCGCTTTTGGCCGTTCATGTCACGGGCCATAAACCGGTGCTACACCGGTCAGCATAATCAGCATAATCGAATTCATCCATTGTTTCCAGCAGGACGGCCGCTCCCCTTTCACTTCGGATTGGCTGCCGTGTCTTCACTCCTCTCTCTGTCACCTCCAAGTTCCGTGTTGCAGCGTTTTCATTCAGGACTCTTCAAACCCCATTCAGGACTCTTCTAACCCGCCGCTCTCTACAGTCATGTCGGACCGAGGCTCTTTTGATACCAACGTGGTGACTTTAACCCGGTTTGTGCTGGAGGAAGGGAGGAAAGCGAAGGGGACGGGGGAGCTCACTACCCTGCTCAACTCGATGTGCACGGCCGTCAAAGCCATCTCCACTGCTGTGAGGAAGGCTGGCATCGCCAACCTGTAAGTAATGATCATCACAGTTAACGAACAAACAAATAAACAAATTAGGAGTCTATCTCTCATTGGAGGGAGGGAGGGAGCGAGAGAGACGGAGACAGAGAAAGTTTGTTGTTCAACAAGTCATTGTACAAGTAGCAATTTGTTTACAGACTTCTTCATAGACTAATGTCTTAGGGCTGTTTTACACAATCTACACACTGAATTAAGTTTCAGCTGCAACATATCCACGTAAGGGTCACAGGAGGTTGGTGGCACCTTAATTGGGGAGGATGGGTTCGTGGTAATGGCTGGAATGGCATCAGTTGAATGAGAGAGAGAAAGCAAGCAGGGCATTCTATGCAATTAAAAAAACAAATTCAAATTGAAATAGCTATTAAAATTTGGCTAAAACTAATTGAATGTGTCATTGAACCAATTGTACTTTATGGCAGCGAGGTGTGGGGTCCACTTGCAAAACAAGATTTCACCCAATGGGATAAACACCCAATTGAAACCCTTCATGCAGAGTTCTGTAATATTCTCCTACATTATTATTCTGTCCAGAGGAAAACTACAAACAATGCATGCAGGGCAGAACTAGGCCAATATCCACTAATAATAGAAACTCAAAGAGCAATTAAGTTTTGGAAACATCTAAAATACAGTGACCCCCCTCTCATATCATTACCAAGCCCTGCAATGGCAAGAGCTGAGCAAAGAAAAGAGTCCCCTCATCCAGCTGGTCCTGGGGCTGAGTTCACAAACCTGTTCTACTAACACACTGAAGCCTCAGGACCAGAACATCCAATCAATCAGAATAAAACAAATGACAAGTCAAAAGAAAACTACATTGCTTATTGGGAAACACAAGCACAAAGTAAAATGCAGTGCTATCTGGCCCTAAATAGACATTACACCATGGCAAACTATTTCACCATGGTTACTGATGAAAACCTTAGAAAAACCTTGACAAAGTACAGGCTCAGTGAGCCCAGCCTTGCCATTGAGAAGGGTAGACACAGGAAAACCTGGCTCCCTGTAGAGGAAAGGCTGTGCAACCACTGCACCACAGCAGAACCTGAGACAGAGCTGCATTTCCTGACAAAATGTCAAAAAATATAGAACAATAAGTGTATTTTCTCCAAATTTGAAACCCTTATTCACGGTTTCAAAGACCTCTCTGATGAGAATAGGCTACCCGTCCTGTTGGGGGAGGACTCAGAGAGCTGTGGGTTGGCAGAGCACTACATTTCTGCCTGCCATAAGATGAGGGACAGTGTCTGACAGACCAACCAACCTGCACATGTCCTCTATATTGTTATTGTTCAATGATTATTTTGACCCGTGGTTATTGTTGTTACTGTTGTCCCGTTGACAAAATTGATTATAATGTTAATATTGTAAATCTCCAAAGTAAGCTTTGGCAATATGTACATTGTAGGATATTTGACCAATCATAATCGATTTAGCTCAACATAGGTCAAGTAAGTAGGTGGTACACACATAATACAGAATCACACTTCCTCATTTCAAAAATTGCAGTATCACGCTTGCTTGGCACATATTTCGTTATCTTTACATGTGGTAATGTGGACGTTTTTTTGTGAAAGAGCACTGGTCAACTGAAACCACCACATCCATCAACAGATTAGGACTAATAGAGAGGGGGGGGACATACACCTTTCAAACTAATGTTTTTTCCACAAACCTTAACATCCCACCAACATTTTTCCGCCTTTTCTTTATATCTGAAAGGTGTTGCTGTTATCAAAGCATAAACTTTTATTTATGCGAACCGACCTAGAGAGACACGTGATCGTATACAAAGGTACAGAATGTTATATATATACAGGTGTAGGTCTATAGGTCTATAGGTCTGTAGGTCTATAGGTCTGTAGGTCTGTAGGTCTATAGGTCTGTAGGTCTATATGTCTGTAGGTCTGTAGGTCTATAGGTCTGTAGGTCTGTAGGTCTATAGGTCTGTAGGTCTATAGGTCTATAGGTCTGTAGGTCTGTAGGTCTGTAGGTCTATAGGTCTGTAGGTCTATAGGTCTGTAGGTCTGTAGGTCTATAGGTCTGTAGGTCTATAGGTCTATAGGTCTGTAGGTCTGTAGGTCTGTAGGTCTATAGGTCTATAGGTCTGTAGGTCTATAGGTCTGTAGGTCTGTAGGTCTATAGGTCTGTAGGTCTATAGGTCTGTAGGTCTGTAGGTCTATAGGTCTGTAGGTCTGTAGGTCTGTAGGTCTATAGGTCTGTAGGTCTATAGGTCTGTAGGTCTGTAGGTCTATAGGTCTATAGGTCTATAGGTCTATAGGTCTGTAGGTCTATAGGTCTGTAGGTCTGTAGGTCTGTAGGTCTATAGGTCTATAGGTCTATGGGTCTATAGGTCTGTAGGTCTATAGGTCTATAGGTCTGTAGGTCTATAGGTCTGTAGGTCTATAGGTCTATAGGTCTATGGGTCTATAGGTCTGTAGGTCTATAGGTCTATGTTATATATATACAGCGCATTTGGAAAGTATTCAGACCGCTTGACTTTTTCCACATGTTGTTATGTTACAGCCTTATTCTAAAATGGATTAAATAGTTTTTTCCCCTCATCAGTCTAAACACAATACCCCATAATGACAAAGCAAAAACAGGTTTTTAGACATCGTCCGCATAGAGGTGGATCCGAGCATCACCAGCAGCAAGAGCGACATCATTGATATGCACAGAGAATAGTCGGCCCGAAAATTGAACCCTGTGGCACCCCCATAGAGACTGCCAGAGGTCCAGACAACAGGCCCTCCGATTTGACACATTGAACTCTATCTGAGAAGTAGTTGGTGAACCAGGCGAGGCAGTCATTTGAGAAACCAAGGCTATTTAGTCTGCCAATAAGAATGCGGTGGTTGACAGAGTCGAAAGCCTTGGCCAGGTCGATGAAGACGGCTGCACAGTACTGTCTTTTATCGATCGCGGTTATAATATATTTTAGGACCTTGAGCGTGGCTGAGGTGCACCCATGACCAGCTCGGAAACCGGATTGCATAGCGGAGAAGGTACGGTGGGATTCGAAATGGTCTGTGATATGTTTGTTAACTTGTCTTTCAAATACTTTCGAAAGGCAGGGCAGGATGGATATAGGTCTGTAACAGTTTGGATCTAGAGTGTCACCCCCTTTGAAGAGGGGGTTGACCGCGGCAGCTTTCCAATCTCTGGGGATCTCAGACGTTACGAAAGAGAGGTTGAACAGGCTAGTAATAGGGGTTGTGACAATTTCGGCGGCTAATTTTAGAAAGAAAGGGTCCAGATTGTCTAGCCCAGCTGATTTGTAGGGGTCCAGATTTTTCAGCTCTTTCAGAACATCAGCTGTCTGAATTTGTGTGAAGGAGAAGCGGGTGGGTCATTGGCAAGTTGCAGAGGAGGGTGCAGAGCTGGTGGCCGGGGTAGTGGTTGCCAGGTGGAAAGCATGGCCAGCCGTAGCAAAACGCTTGTTGAAATTCTCGATTTATTATAGATTTATCGGTGGTGACAGTGTTTCCTAGCCTCAGTGCAGTGGGCAGTTGGGAGGAGGTGCTCTTATTCTCCATGGACTTTACAGTGTCCCAAAACTTTTTGGAGTTAGTGCTACAGGATGCACATTTCTGTTTGAAAAAGTTAGCCTTTGCTTTCCTGACTGCTTGTGTATATTGGTTCCTAACTTCCCTGAAAAGTTGCATATCGCGGGGGCTATTTGATGCTAATGCAGTACGCCACAGGATGTTTTTGTGCTGGTCAAGGGCAGTCAAGTCTGAGGAGAACCAGGGGCTATATCTGTTCTTAGTTCTGAATTTTTTGAATGGGGCATGCTTATTTGAGATTGAGAGGAAAGCACTTTTAAAGAACAACCAGGCATCCTCTACTGACGGAATGAGGTCAATATCCATCCAGGATACCTGGGCCAGGTCAATTAGAAAGGCCTGCTCGCTGAAGTGTTTTAGGGAGCGTTTGACAGTGATGAGGGGTGGTCGTTTGACCGCGGACCCATTACGGACGCAGGTAATAAGGCAGTGATCGCTGAGATCCTGGTTGAAGACAGCGGAGGTGTATTTAGAGGGTAAATTTGTCAAGATGATATCTATGAGGGTACCCATGTTTACAGATTCAGGGTTGTACCTGGTAGGTTCCTTGAATATTTGTGTGAGATTGAGGGCATCTAGTTTGGATTGTAGGACGGCCGGGGTGTTAAGCATATCCCAGTTTAGGTCACCAAGCAGTACGAACTCTGAGGATAGATGGGGGGCAATCAGTTCACATATGGTGTCCAGGGCACAGCTGGGGGCTGAGGGGGGTCTGTAGCAAGCGGCAACAGTGAGATACTTATTTCTGGAAAGGTGGATTTTTAGAAGTAGAAGCTGAAACTGTTTGGGCACAGACCTGGATAGTATGATAGAGCTCTGCAGGCTATCTCTACAGTAGATTGCAACTCTGCCCCCTTTGGCAGTTCTATCTAGACGGAAAATGTTGTAGTTGGGGATGGACATTTCTGCATTTTTGGTGGCCTTCCTAAGCCAGGATTCAGACACTGCTAGAACATCAGGGTTGGCGCAGCACTAGAGGAACAGAGGAGGAGTAGAATACGGCCAAAGGCTTTAAAAACTGGTCTTCTAGTGCGTTGGGTACAGAGAATAAAGGGGGCAGATTTACGGGCGTTGTAGAATAGATTCAGGGCATTATGTACAGACAAGGATATGGAAGGATATGAGTACAGTGGAGGTAAACCTAAGCGTTGGGTAACGATGAAAGAGATAGCATCACTGGAGGCACCGATTGAGCCGGTCTCCACGTGTATGGGGGGTGGGACAAAGGAGCTGTCTAAGGCAGGTTGAGCTGGACTGGGGGCTCTACAGTGAAATAGTACGTCAACAAAACAAAGGAGCTGATCATGGACTTCAGGAAACAGCAGAGAGAGCACGCCCCTATCCACATTGACGGGACCGCAGTGGAGAAGGTGAAAAGCTTCAAGTTCCTTGGCGTACACGTCACTGACAATCTGAAATGGTCCACCCACACAGACAGTGTGGTGAAGGCGGCGCAACAGCGCCTCTTCAACCTCAGGAGGCTGAAGAAATTCGGCTTGGCCCCTAAGACCCTCACAGACTTTTACAGCTGCACAATTGAGAGCATCCTGTCGGGCTGTATCACCGCCTGGTACGGCAACTGCACTGCCGTACCATAATGACAGAAGTGAGTGCTACGGTGCGATAGTCATTTAGTTCAGTTACCTTTGCTTTCTTGGGTACAGGAACAATGGTGGACATCTTGAAGCATGTGGGGACAGCAGACTGGGATAGGGAGAGATTGAATATGTCCGTAAACACTCCAGCCAGCTGGTCTGCGCATGCTCTGAGGACGCGGCTAGGGATGCCGTCTGGGCCGGCAGCCTTGCGGGGGTTAACACGCTTAAATGTCTTACTCATGTCGATCACGAAGAACGAGGACCCACAATCCTTGGGAGCGGGCCGCGTCGGTGGCACTGTGTTATCCTCAAAGCGGGCGAAGAGGGTGTTTTTAGCTTGTCCGGGAGCAAGACGTCGGTGTCGGCAACGTGGCTGGTTTTCCCTTTAATCTGTGATTGTCTGTAGACCCCGTCTCCTCTCCTCTTCCCAGGTATGGCATAGCGGGCACAACCAATGTGACAGGGGACCAGGTGAAGAAGCTGGACATCCTGTCTAACAACCTGGTGATCAACATGATCAAATCCTCCTTCACATCCTGTGTCCTGGTGTCAGAGGAGGACGACACCGCCATCATAGTAGAACCAGACAGACAGGTAACTAACGCTGTTGTTGTCCTGGTGTCAGAGGAGGACGACACCATCATAGTAGAACCAGACGAAGGTTGGTTATTGGAGTAAGAGTTGTTCTGGCAGCATTGCTGTTTAGAGCAGGGGTGGCCATCCCTCTGCTCGGGGGGGGGGCACCAGATAGTCCACATTTTGGTTCTATCCCTGCACTGATAAACATAATACAAATATTTGTTCCACTGGTCTCCTCCAGGGTAAATACGTGGTGTGTTTTGACCCTCTGGATGGCTCCTCCAACATCGACTGCTTGGTTTCAATCGGCACCATCTTCGCCATCTACAGAAAGGTATGTATTCTATAGGTTTCCATACATTATCTTTAACCAAACCAGAACGTGAACCCAGCGGTCGGTGTGTTTGACAAGGCTGGGTTTCTATAGGTGTTCTATGAAGTGCTTCACTGAGACCTGATGTATTTAGCTTTTATATGCATTTTACTGATCAAATCAATCAAGCAAATCGTCTGGTGTGTCTTCCAGATCACAGAGGATGACCCCTGTGAGAACGACGCACTGCAGCCTGGTAGAAACATCGTTGCCGCTGGATACGCCCTCTATGGCAGCGCCACCATGATGGTACTGTCCGCTGGGCAGGGGGTCAACTGCTTCATGTTGGACCCGGTCAGTAACATAATAATATAATAATATAATATGCCATTTAGCAGACGCTTTTATCCAAAGCGACTTACAGTCACCCACTAACAGGCAGGGAGTCAACTACTGTCCCGGTGAGTACCGTCCTCTACCCACTACAGCTGCTATAAGTCTTACTGGATCATTCATGTTTATGGATCCATCTGTCTGTCAGGCCATAGGATCATTCATGTTTATGTATCCATCTGTCTGTCAGGCCATAGGATCATTCATGTTTATGTATCCATCTGTCTGTCAGGCCATAGGTGAGTTCATTCTGGTGGACAGGGATCTAAAGATCAAACCTAAAGGGAATATCTACAGTCTGAATGAAGGATATGCCAAATACTTTGACCCCGCTGTCACAGAGTACCTACAAAAGAAGAAGTTCCCCGAGGTACGCAAAACAAAGTAGTTCCCCGAGGTTGGGCTGGCGTTTAGCCATCATCATCAAATTCAAATAACTGCCAAAATAAAGGAAACACCAACATAGTGTCTTAATAGGGTGTTGGGCCACCACGAGCCAGAACAGCTTCAATGCACCTTGGCATAGATTCTACAAGCGTCTGGAACTCTATTGGAGGGATGTGATACCGTTCTTCCACCAGAAATTCCATCATTTGGTGTTTTGTTGATGGTGGTGGAAAACACTTCTATCCCTCATTTACTCACGTGTTTCCTTTATTCTGGCAGCTACCTGATAAAGTACTCTCTACTACATGGGTAGTACATCCTTACTGTAAAACCGGCAGTATACAGAACTGTTATAGGCTAACTATTTAGACTGTGTTTGTGGTTCAGGGCTAACCCTTACTCTGTGTCTCAGGATGGCAGTGCCCCGTACGGTGCCCGCTACGTGGGTTCTATGGTAGCAGACGTCCACAGGACCCTGGTCTACGGAGGAATCTTCCTCTACCCTGCTAATGTCAAGAGCCCCGAGGGAAAGGTGGGCCCTAACCCCTGACCTTTAACCCTCTCAAGGGAAAGATGGGAAGATGTTGCTCTCATGGTTCTGTGGCTAGTTTAGTTTCCTCATGTTGAGGGTAACAATGTGATCAATGTGTGTCCATCTCCTCTATTGCTTAAAGCAGAAGAGATGGAGCTGCTGGGGAAATAGGAAACGGCAGTGGTGTTCTACTCTTGGCATGTCACAAGAGTGATGTCTTCAGAACAGTGAAGGTTATGTGTAAGGATGTGGTTCTATTGAATAATATATTTTCCTTTATTTTCCCCTGACCCTACCATCCCTCCCCTAATTGGAGTAAACTAATGGACAACAACACTTAGGCTTCTACTTCCAGTTTATACATACTATACTGAACAAAAATGGGATGGTTGTATCAACCATGTACAGTGAGGGAAAAAAAGTATTTGATCCCCTGCTGATTTTGTACGTTTGCCCACTGACAAAGACATGATCAGTCTATAATTTTAATGGTAGGTTTATTTGAACAGTGAGAGACAGAATAACAACAGAAAAACGCATGTCAAAAGTTTTATAAATTGATTTGCATTTTATTGAGGGAAATAAGTATTTTGACACAGCTGTACATTCTTTGGTCGTTAAATGAAACTGGTATACTTTTTTTCATTTATCACAATTTTCTTTAACCAATTTTGGTCTTTAATGCAGGGCCAACAGACAAGTTCCCCCTTCCATTTGCAGTAATGTTGCAATCAGTTGGTTGTAATTTTGGATAGAGCAGACATTTCCATATTCTTTGATCAATTAGTAGATTTGAGTTTAACCATACTATTTGTTGGAATATTTGGTATTTTCTGGTTGATTAAACTGAAATTGCAACCAACTTTCTATGGCTTGTTTTAAAAATAGCGATATTCTGGAGATTATTTCATTTTCAAATAACCGAAAGTGAGAGGTTGTAATCTGAATAAAGGGAAAAAGGCCGTTCCTGAACATGGGTTGAGACATTCTTACTAATTTGCTGGAAAACCAGTTTGGATTTAAGTACAACTTTTTTTGTGTGACTGAGGCCTTTAGTGAGAGGTCTAACGCTTTAATATTTAATAATTTCAGCCCTCTGAATTCATATTCATTATATAAATAGGCAGTTTTTTTTAGTGATCCAATACGTAATATAGTACACTTATCGTAATTTGGTTGTAATCCAGAAAGATTATCTAGATCCTCTATGAGGCTGTGGAGGGATTCAAGTTGTGGATTTAAAAGAAGATGAATCATCAGCGTACAATGACCCTTGATATTATTGTTGGATCTGATTTTAATAGCTAACATTTCAATGGCCATAATAAATAGATATGCCGATAGTGGACAACCTTGTTTCACTCCTCTTGACAGTTTAAATGTTCCAGGCATTTATATATAAATTCCAGTCGTACTTCATCAAAGGCCTTTTCAAAGTCAGCTATGAATACCAGGCCATTATGAACACCTGCTCTTTCCATGATATAGACTATCCAGGTGAAAGCTTATTGATGTCACTTGTTAAATCCACTTCAATCAGTGTAGATGAAGGGGAGGAGACAGGTTAAAGGAGGATTTTTAAGCCTTGAGACAATTGAGACATGGATTGTGTATGTGTGCCATTCAGAGGGTGAATGGGTAAGGCAAAATATTTAAGTGCCTTTGAACAGGTTCTGGTAGTAGGTGCCAGGCGCACCGGTTTGTGTCAAGAACTGCAACGCTGCTGGGTTTTTCACAATCAACAGTTTCCTGTGTGTATCAAGAATGGTCCACCACCCAAAGGACATCCAGCCAACTTGACACAACCGTGGGTAGCATTGGAGTCAACATGGGCCAGCATCCCTGTGGAATGCTTTTGACACCTTGTAGAGTCCATGACCCAACAAATTGAATCTGTTCTGAGGGAAAAAAGGGGGTGCAACTCAATATTAGGAGGGTGTTCCTAATGTTTTGTCCACAGTGTATATGAACATGTATATAATAATATGAATCTGTGTTCTAGCTGCGTCTGCTGTATGAGTGCAACCCCATGGCGTTCATCATCGAGCAGGCGGGCGGCATGGCAACCACAGGAAGTCAGAACGTCCTGGACATCCAGCCAATCAACATCCACCAGAGAGTTCCCGTGGTGCTGGGGTCACCTAGCGACGTCCAGGAGTACCTGGAGATATACCAAAAACACCAGGCCAACAACGGCAACTAGGGACCCCACACACACACACACACACACACACACTCCCGAGTGAGATGACAAGCATACAGGTACACACTCCCTATGTGAAGACCAAAGACCATTATAAACCAATAGACCAAAGATCCACACATTCCCCTATCACTTATCCGAGACCCAATGGGATCAGCATGCTGTTGACCAAGAGACCAAAGATCCACACATTCCCCTATCACTTATCCGAGACCCAATGGGATCAGCATGCTGTTGACCAAGAGACCAAAGATCCACCGACACTCCATAACCATCAACCACTAGACCGAAGACCAAAGACACACCCCCAAGCCTCACCACCCAGACCAGAGACCAAAGAACAAGAAGAAAACCAAGATGGCCACCTATGACTTCCCATCCTGGACCAGGAACCGGAGGGGGAAGAGACCATTTCCCCTCATTTCTTCATTGTCATTTATTTTAAAGGAATTTGCAGACAACTTTGCAGTATCCTCTCGGACCACTATTGGCCCCCAGACCACAGGTTGGGAACCACTGCATTAAATATTACCATGAATATTTATCAGTACTACTAAATATCAGACAGACCTAATGTTACCTCTATGCAGTACATAAAATATGTGCCTTGACTCAGATATTGTTTGGGATGTTGAAGCATGTGATTAATAAACCGTGGGGACGACGTACCAAACAGAATGTTGTATCTTTAGAATTCCATTTCACCACCTATATACTACACCAGGGGCCTAGAAGGAAGAGAGCAGAGGGGAGAGAGTTAGGTTCAGCGGTTCCCTATATACACCAGGGGCCTAGAAGGATGAGAGCGGAGGGGAGAGAGTTAGGTTCAGCGGTTCCCTATATACACCAGGGGCCTAGAAGGATGAGAGCGGAGGGGAGAGAGTTAGGTTCAGCGGTTCCCTATATACAACACCAGGGGCCTAGAAGGATGAGAGCGGAGGGGAGAGAGTTAGGTTCAGCGGTTCCCTATATACATCACCAGGGGCCTAGAAGGATGAGAGCGGAGGGGAGAGAGTTAGGTTCAGCGGTTCCCTATATACAACACCAGGGGCCTAGAAGGATGAGGGCAGAGGGGAGAGAGTTAGGTTCAGCGGTTCCCTATATACAACACCAGGGGCCTAGAAGGATGAGAGCGGAGGGGAGAGAGTTAGGTTCAGCGGTTCCCTATATACATCACCAGGGGCCTAGAAGGATGAGAGCGGAGGGGAGAGAGTTAGGTTCAGCGGTTCCCTATATACATCACCAGGGGCCTAGAAGGATGAGAGCGGAGGGGAGAGAGTTAGGTTCAGCGGTTCCCTATATACATCACCAGGGGCCTAGAAGGATGAGAGCGGAGGGGAGAGAGTTAGGTTCAGCGGTTCCCTATATACATCACCAGGGGCCTAGAAGGATGAGAGAGTTAGGTTCAGCGGTTCCCTATATACATCACCAGGGGCCTAGAAGGATGAGAGCGGAGGGGAGAGAGTTAGGTTCAGCGGTTCCCTATATACAACACCAGGGGCCTAGAAGGATGAGAGCGGAGGGGAGAGAGTTAGGTTCAGCGGTTCCCTATATACAACACCAGGGGCCTAGAAGGATGAGAGCGGAGGGGAGAGAGTTAGGTTCAGCGGTTCCCTATATACAACACCAGGGGCACGTTCGCGACACGTTCATGGTCTGACATATAGAGGGTACCACGTCTGGTCTATTCATGGCATTTCTATCTGCGACGTTCGACAACGTTTGCCAACTGAAGTGGGCCCAGTAGCGGTCGGATGTTCTTAAATGAACAGCAAAGTTCAACCAGACTGATAGACAATCAATGGGCCACCTAACAACATATCACTGAGTATTATATTATTATTATCATGATGACTCGATATTTTCTCTGCAAACCAATGATTTTCACAACACTCATTTGGACAACTTTACTTTAGGTCAAATAAACGGAGACTCATCACAATAGTTTTCATGATGCCTCAGATGAGGACAGAGTGTACACTAGAGGACAGAGTGTACACTAGAGACAGGGTGCGGTCACTAATGAGGACAGAGTGTACACTAGAGACAGGGTGCGGTCACTAATGAGGACAGAGTGTACACTAGAGGACAGAGTGTACACTAGAGACAGGGTGCGGTCACTAATGAGGACAGAGTGTACACTAGAGGACAGAGTGTACACTAGAGACAGGGTGCGGTCACTAATGAGGACAGAGTGTACACTAGAGACAGGGTGCGGTCACTAGGAGCCGACCTTAACACTAAAGGTCAACTGAAGAGCAGGCAGACGCGGTGGCGGTTCCTTGAACTACTCCGGCATGAGTCTGCAGGATGAGTCAGCTGCTGTTCCTCCTGACAGTGAGTCAGCTGCTGCTCCTCCTGACAGTGAGTCGGCTGCTGTTCCAGTGAGTCGGCTGCTGTTCCAGTGAGTCGGCTGCTGTTCCAGTGAGTCGGCTGCTGTTCCAGTGAGTCTGCTGCTGTTCCAGTGAGTCGGCTGCTGTTCCAGTGAGTCGGCTGCTGTTCCAGTGAGTCGGCTGCTGTTCCAGTGAGTCTGCTGCTGTTCCAGTGAGTCGGCTGCTGTTCCAGTGAGTCTGCTGCTGTTCCAGTGAGTCTGCTGCTGTTCCAGTGAGTCTGCTGCTGTTCCAGTGAGTCTGCTGCTGTTCCAGTGAGTCGGCTGCTGTTCCAGTGAGTCAACTGCTGTTCCAGTGAGTCGGCTGCTGTTCCAGTGAGTCGGCTGCTGTTCCAGTGAGTCTGCTTCACTCTCAACCCCTTCAGTCAAACTTTCCTTTGTCTCGATGTGAGAGAATTGCATGATGGCATGCATGTTGAGGTTCTCTAACCGTAACATGTAATGTAATAACCATTCTGGGTGAATATCTACCCACTCATGTTTAGGAAGTTCTTACAAACCCCAAAAAGTCATGTCTAGTGAAAAGTTGAAATCTCAGAGAAAGTATTGAAGACAGACAGTCATCAAACAGACCCTACAGTCATAGACATCATGATTCAATGTGTCATATCTGGATGACATTACAATCCCTGGCCCTATTAAAGACCGGTTAACTGTGTGAAGGGTTGCTAGGTAACAGGGAGGTGTCTCTATAATCCAATAGCAGCCTACTTTACCTACACATCCTTCTGGCGTGGGCGTGTCTTATACATGGTAAACCCTAGCCCTGGGAACAGCTATTAAAGACCGGTTGCTAGGTAACAACCCTGGGAGCAGCTATTAAAGACTGGTTGCTAGGTAACGACCCTGGGAACAGCTATTAAAGACCGGTTGCTAGGTAACGACCCTGGGAACAGCTATTAAAGACCGGTTGCTAGGTAACGACCCTGGGAACAGCTATTAAAGACTGGTTGCTAGGTAATGACCCTGGGAACAGCTATTAAAGACCGGTTGCTAGGTAACGACCCTGGGAACAGCTATTAAAGACCGGTTGCTAGGTAACAACCCTGGGAACAGCTATGAAAGACCGGTTGCTAGGTAACGACCCTGGGAACAGCTATTAAAGACCGGTTGCTAGGTAACAACCCTGGGAACAGCTATTAAAGACCAGTTGCTAGGTAACGACCCTGGGAACAGCTAGATGTCTCAACCCCCTGATGTTATGGTGTGGTTTCCTGGACATCGATAAAGTCCTGGAGAAAATCATTTTCAATAGAGATTCTCCATTAAGCTTGTTTTTAAGTCCAGGGCTAGGCCTGTGTCTGGAAAACCGCCCCAAAATGTGTTGTTTTGCTTGCATCCAATAGCCAACACTGGTATGATGAAGGAATATTCTACTGACATAGGCCTATTCTACAGAAAAACACCTCAATGTTTGGGCAACAACTTGCGTGATAAGGAAGTGGTCTGTGTTTAACTTCTGTCTTAGAGAGACCACACACACACACACACACACACACACACACACACACGTCCGTCTGTCACAGAAGGTTTGCTGTCACTCGATCCCCCCTCTCTCCTCATCACAAATGTAACCCTGGTGTTCATCCATGCTGTGGGATATAAGAGGACCTTCTCTGTAACAGCCACACCTATCCTTGTGGAGACCTAAAATTGATTTCCATTCAAAATCCTATTTAGCCTAACCCTAATTCTAACCTTAAACCTAACCCCTAAGCCTAAAATAGCCTTTGTCCTTGTGGGGTCCTGGGAAATGTCCCCAGGAAGAGAATTTTCCTTGTTTAACTGTCCTTGTGGGGACTTTAGGGGATTACCAGTCCACACACGCTCTGTCTCTTCCCCGAACTCTGAGATCGACACGGATGTGTGGACCTAACCCGGTTTGTGATGGAGACAGGTCGCAGGTCGCCAGGTCAAGGGCTGGACAGTAGAGCTAACCCAGCTGATTTAACAGTCTGCTGTAACTCAGTTGATAGAGCATGGCGTTTGCAACGCCAGGGTTGTGGGTTCGATTCCCACAGGGGGGGCCAGTATGAAAAAAATAATGTATGCACTAACTGTAAGTCGCTCTGGATAAGAGCGTCTGCTAAATGACTAAAATGTAAAATGTAAATGTAATGCTGACATCCATCAAAGATTCCATTTGGAATCAACCAACGCTTGAAACCCTAGGCCTATATGTATTGTCTATTTCTAGTTGAACCCTGGGTTGAATTGAAACAATAGCTCTGTTTAGCGAGCTATTTAATTATTCAGTTTGTGGGCAATTAGACATTCAATAGATACAACTACTTATAATGCACATATGAAAATCAGAATTGGCACACAGATCGTTAGGAATGGCAGGATAAATAGTAAATTGGCACCCAAGCTCTGCTCTAGGGCACCTTTACTCCACACACAGAAACACTAACAAAGCCCTCCCTCATCCTCCCTTTGGCAAACCTGACCATAACTCTATACTCCTACTTCTTGTTTACAAGCAAAAACTCAAACAGGAAGTACCAGTGACACTGTCAATATGGAAGTGGTCAGATGAAGCGGATGCTAAGCTACAGGACTGTTTCTCTACCACAGACTGGAATATGTTCTGGGATTCATCCGATGACCTTGAGGAGTTTAACCGCATCAGTCACAG